ACACAAGCATTCACCAGTCAGAATGGCAGGATTGGGGTTTGGATTGAAGTTTATTTGGATGGTCAACTTGGTAGCCTTGTGGAAGTTATAGCAGTCCTGAGTTTGGGTTAAAAATTCAAGAAGTTTTGAACTTTTCTCAGTCCCTGTATTAATTACAAGCAAAATTCATGCTCTCTTGCTCCCTGACCTTGACAATGACACTTCTTCCAGCAGTTGTAAAAGAAACTGAAAGCAGATCCTTGAGGATAATTATGCCACAGCAGAGGTTTCAACACATTGTTTGTCCTGTAGAACTTTTTAAGGAATCTGGCACACAGGAGGCAGTTCCTGAAAGTATTCACTGAATCTAGACCTCAAGCTTTCCCACTACTCCTATGAAGTGCTCAGTGGAATGATCAATAACCTGAAGAAAAATGAATAAGTGCAGAATTGGAAATCACAGATGAAAAAGAGAACAAAGGATTGTCGTTTTTCTCAATATTTAGGAGGGTGGTGAGGCCCTGGCAGAGGTAGTCCAGAGCAGCTGTCGCTGCCCCATGCCTGGAAGTGTCCAAGGCCAGGTTGGACAGGGCTTGGAGCAACCTGGGATAGTGAAGGCTGTCCTTGCTCATGGCAGGGGTGGGAACTGGGTGGTCTTTAACATCTATTCCAACCCAGACCAGTTTGTGGTTCTATGACTGTACGATGTCCTGCAGCTTTATGCTACCAGTAACCCCAAGCACTCTAAGTTAACCAACTTCACAGACTGGCCAGGGAAGGAAATGTGGTTTTTAGGAATTACTGCCCTATTTAGAGCCTACATTGACTTTTCAGTGATCTTCAATCCATTCCGTAAGAGCCCTATGAACAGGAAACACAGCTCTGGGTTGTACGCTGTTGTGGAAACTGGGACACAAAAAAACCCTTAATTAAAAAAAAATCTGGATTGTTTACTCCTTCATTATGTCTCGGTGATTATCATAGTATTTACAACAATGTTTTAGTTTGTGTTTCTAAAATATAAAGTGCAAGAGAAGTGTTGCACCTTCCCAAGGCATTCAAACCATCCAAACCAAGATGCTTAGGCGCAGACTTGTGTTGGCAGCTTTTGCCTACGACTCAATCAAATCTTATAAGGCCCATGGGTGTAACACTGAGTGTCTCTAGAGAACTCAAGTGCTTTGCTTGCTGCTGCACTCACAGAATCTGAGTCATTCAGGTTGGGAGCCTCTTACACGTCCATGGAGTCCAAGCTGTGACCAATCTCCAGCATGTCAACCAGCCCAGAGCACTGGCTGGCCTGTCCAGCTGTCTTTTGAGCACCTTCAGGAACTGAAATAACCGTGGGCAGAAGGCTTTTCTCCTTTTTAATGCCGCTATTAAAAGTGATCAGCGCTGGGGGGATAATTGAGGGGTCCACACTCACACTGCCACCTGTCCCAGGAGTGACTCTGGAGAGGAGGAAGGGTGCAGCTTTGTCCACTGCTCTGCGGGCAGAGCCGGGCCTTTCATCCTCCCAAGAGCATCGGGAAATACCTTGTTCCTTCGGGCTGACCTCCAGGGTGCTGCCTCTGGCCGAGGTCCTCCCTGGCTAGGGTGAGGGGCAAAAAAGGGTCTCAGCATCTCTGCAGGCTCTGGACTTTGTTCCTCACGTCTAGTCATCGCTTTGATTCGTCACTTTTGTGTTGGCTCGCTGTTTTAGGGGGGTTTGGCTAGGTTTGGTGAGGGGTCTCTCCTGCTGCATGCTGGATCCGATGTCATTTGCATTTTGACGCGACGTCCCTTCTCCTCCACCGTCTGGGTGCCATCTTCTAGGAAGCAGCAGGGTGTCACTAGACAAAAGGCGGAATTCTTGACCATCAACGACAGGTAGTTAATGAAAATGACTGGTGCTTACAATAACAAACAACCCTGGCACCAACTGGTCCAACTTGTTCACTCCGCAACCTTTTAAAAAAATTGGCAGCTTTTTCTACTTATAACAGGGATGGTAACTCCACTCCTTCCCTGAGCAGTCCCAATGCCTGACAACCCTTTCTGCGAATAAATTCTTCCTCATTTCCCACCTGAACCTCCCGTGGCACAACCTGAGGCTTGTTTCTTCTTCTATTGCTTGTGAACCGGGAGCAGAGCCCAAGCTCTACCTGGCTGCACCCTCCTGTCTAGAGGGAGTTCTGGAGCCTCCTTTTCTCCAGGCTGAGCCCCCCAGCTCCCTCAGCTGCTCCTCATGATTTCCTCTCTAGGCCCTTCCCCTGCTGCACTCCAGCACAAAAGGCTCAAGCTGGGGTGGCGGGGAGAGCAGTGAAATGGAGGAAAAGGACTTGCCCTGCATTGCCGAACGAGGAGGAGCCACTCTCTGATCAGAACAGAGGTCACCGCCACAAAAGAAACGGCACAAACAGACACAACCGGCGCTGCTGGCCGCGCTCCATCCGACCCCGGGCTGGGAAGAACCACACACACATTAAACACTATGGCTGCCTTCGGTAGCAAGAAGCTGGAGCCTTTCCAAGTCTAACAGCCCGAATGGATACTTGGAATAAGGTGCAAATGCAGCCGGTCTCACAGGCAGATTTGTGATACAATGTAGCCCAGAGTGAGCGCAGCCCGAGCTCCGCGGCAGAGCCGCTCACTGGAGGCCATTCCCCGGGAAGGAACAGAGAGAGGGCAGCAAACAGCTCCAAGGGTGACACCCAGCCCTGCAGCCACCCTTCCCGCACCCAGGCGGGTCAATGTGGTGCATTTGGACCTGTCTGGCTGCTCGTACAGCCAGAGCCATCTCAGGTGGGTTTTGTTTAAAGTCACCCATCTCTCACATCAAACATTGAAGTGACATCCTTGTCACACCACAAATCTCAGCTGGTAGGGCTGAGGTCACCTGTATTCACTCACAGGTCTCTTTTCTGCCTCTTGTGATGACAACAAATAATGCATAAATGCTAAAAAATATATTTATTACATGTAATTGTAACAAATAACAAAGGTTTCATCTCTGCTTCCGCCCCGATAGAAACCACTAAAATCAAAGCATTTGCATTAATTTTAATGCAAAAAAACTATATATATAAGAGGACAAAAGTATTATTGTAACTGATCTCCCATCACACATCTCATGCTGGTGTGGTTTGAGATTTCTGCACAGTCACACCAGGAAGTTGGAGGTAGGTGGCTTAGAGTATTCAATTTATTCCTCCTGGATTACATCAAACTATCATCTGCAGAGATATTTATAAAGGAATAAGTAATAATATATAGATATATATTATATATAATAATATATAGACCTTGCACCTGAAGATTAGAAGTTAATCTTCTGCATTGGAAGGCACGATGAGCACCAGTTGAGGATTTATTTAAAAAAGAATGTGTGATTTCAGAGGAGCTGCACACCTGACCGGTGCTATCCACCATCAGCCAAATAAGAGAAAACACCTAATTACTCAAATGACAACAATCTCTTTTCATTTCTGTAAAATATAACCAGAACAGGCATTGTTGGTTTGAAACATCAATTCCAAGACACCCACAGTGTACCAGTGCATAGAGCCATTACTGATCTTTACAATCGTGTGTTTCTGTGGTGAAAATAATTTTTATTTCCAACAGGTCTAAAAAGACTTGGTCTGCCCTAATGGAGGCAACAGTATTAATAACCCAAGTGCACTTTGGGGATGAAAATCTGGGCTGGGGGGCCTGAGGGCTGAGCCAGGGCATGATGGCATATTCAAAGGGTTTCATTAAAGAAATATGGTCAAATTGGCATGGGCATCTTAATGTTGGTCGTTTTTAGTGAAATTGTAAGAAAATTATTGTAAAAGAGGGATTTGGAGGTTACTCTTGAATGCAGAATGCTTGGTGGGAACGAATTGTGTGCAACACAGAATCCCAGAAACACTTAGGCTGGAAAAGACCAACGACTTCAACCTCTGACAGATCACCACAGACTGCCATGTCCAGTCGTTCCTTGGACATCGCTTTTAACTGGAATTCTGTGCTCTGTGGTTTCACTGACCACCACTTTTAGCGATACTCTACCAATTTATTTTCTGACCCTTTCAACGACGCCCCCCCGTAATTTCTATTATCAGACGCGTTAGGAGGTTGCTTTTTAATGCATATTGTCCTCACGGTGTGAGAGACCATCACTTTTAGGCGGAATTCTGAGTGCTGTGGGATTTCAACACGGGCCTTCCCTCACGGCGTTTTCCTGCCCTAGGCGCGCTCCCAGGACCCCGCCGGGCCCTGAGGGGGTAACTCGGCACCTCCGTGCCCACGGGGGGGGCCCTCGGGGAAGGTTCCCGACGGAGGCCAGGCCGAGGCACCGTTGCCCTTACCGAGGCGCAGCGGGCCGAAGGCTGCGGGTGATGACGCAAGCGGCGGTTCCGGCGCCGGGGCGGTGACCGAGGCGGCGGCGCGGGCGGAAGGAAGGGAAGGAGGCGGGAGGGAAAGGGGTGTCTGGCCGCCGCCGCCGCCGCGGTTCCATTGCCGGGAGCGGGGCAGGGCCGTGAGGGGAGCGGGAGCGGGCGGCGTGAGGGGAGAGCGCGAGCGCGCGCCGCGTGAGGGGAGCGCGAGCGGCGCGAGCGGCGCGAGCGGCGGCCGCCGGAAGTATCGCGAGAGTTGGCGCGGCGGCGGCGCCGGCGCTAGAGGTGACCGAGGCAGCAGCGGCCGCGGGCGCCTCCTCCTCTTTTTCCTCCTCCTCCTCCTTCTCCTCCTTTTCCTTCCTCTCCGGCCATGGAGAAGGCGGTCGGCGCGGCGGTAGCGGTGACGGCGGAGGAGGGAGGCGGTGAGGGCGGCGGCGGCGAGGCCGGCAGCGCCACAGCGGGGCCCGGTCCCCCGGAGGGGCCGAGCGGCCCCGCCGCGCCCCCGTCGCCGTGCGGGCCCGGGGCGGCCGGGCTGGTGCGGGTGTGCGACCTCCTGCTGAAGAAGAAGGCGGTGCCGGGCAAGGCGAAGCGCGGCGGGCGGGCGGCCCGGCCGGCCAGCAGCAGCGAGAGCGGCGGCGGCGGCAGCGAGAGCAGCAACAACGGCAGCGACGACGAGGAAGAGGAGGAGGAGGAGGAGGAAGACGAGGAGGAGGAGGAGGAGGAAGAGGAGGTCTCCGAGGTACGGCGCGGGGGAGGCCCCGGGGGTTTCCCCGCTGATCCGGTTTCATAATTCCAGCTGGCTCCCGGCTCCCCCCGCCCTCGGCCCTGCGGCAGACCTCGTGGCGGGGCACGGCCGATCCCGGCCTCCGGTCGCTCCCGCCGCGGAGAGCGGCCTCGGGCCCCCTGCTCGCCGGGATGCGGGGCCAGCGGCCCCCGGCTTTCCCCACGGCTCGGGGGCTCCCTGCGAGCCGCAGCCAGCGGCCGCCTTCGTCCCTGGTGTGGTTTATCCCGAAGGGAAAGGCGCAGGGGCCGCCGCAGGTGCTGTGTGCCATGTGCTGTATCGCGGCGGTCACGGGAGCCGGCAGAGCGAGAGCCGAGCGGTGGCAATGCTGCTGGCTGGCAGCGCCAGCATGGGGCTCCGGGGGCAGGCCCGAGCGCTGCCCGCGGGGCTGGGAAGGTGCTGGCGCGCCCAGCGGTGGGAATGGATCCTCTGGGAGAGCGAGCGCAGGTAAAGCGGGTGAAGGTGCAGCTGAAGGTGCAGCCAGGCGAGGGCTGCCAGAGAGCCCACGGTGTTGAACTGTTGAGTGGCGTTTTCACCGAACCTGAAAGCCGCCCTGATTCGATGCAATGCAGAAACAGGAAGCATTAATAGTCGGTTTTGTCTGGTGTTAGGATTTTCAGGTAGGTATGGTTGGAAAAGGCCTGTAAGGCTCGGAGCCCCTTATTTGCATATGTAGCCACACAGGGTTGCTTTGTTGAATGGTGTTAATTCTGTAACCTCCCCAGCTGAGCATTCACTTCTGCTTTGTTTTTTTTTTAAGCAGAAAAGTTCTCTTGAAGTTTTTAGCTTTTCTTTGAACTTGGTCTCTAAGCGGTTTGGCTTTTGAGCGATATATCTACAGTTCTGTTAGAAACTGGGCAGGAAGGAAGGGTCTGATAGGTTCGAGGAAGGGCTGGGCCGGGATGGTGATAGCTTTTTCCACAGTTAAGCAGCACTCTGCATTTCATTCCTGCTGAAGTTGATACAAGAAGCATTTTATCCAGCTGTTTGAGATAAAATGCACGCAGTGAGCGTGTCTCAGAGTTTGTACTCTCCTTTCTGTGGTGTTGATTTTCAGCAAAGTCAATATCATTGTCTAGGTAGAAGTTTTTATGGCATAAGACTTGTAGGATAACTGCTTTGCTGCTGATCTATGTTGTCCAGCAGTCCCACAGGTGCTTGGAAGGCTCTGTTGAGCACAGGCCTTTGGGATTTGCTGGTGCTGTGTGGTGAAGGAATGGAGGCCCTGCAGTGACTTCAATGTATCGGTTGACAAACCCTGAGATCAGCTGTGTGTGGTGGAAACATGCAGCAGAATTTGTGTCAAGCCAGACCTGCTGGTGAAGCCACGGGCAGGTTTTTGTTTGGTCCACAGCCGTTCTTCCCAAGGGCTCCTTACACTGACAGCTTCCAGTGGAATTGTGTGTGTGGCAGAGAAGGGCAGAGACAACTGAAGAGTGCAGGTAGTGGGTGAGGTGAGCCTTTGCCTGCTTTCTGTGCCTTCAGAGGCACCTATTTCCCATTATTTGGGACCTGCAGAGAGGAGGAAATGGCAGTGATCATTAAATATCGTGAGGCAGCAGAATAGTTCACTTTTATTCTTTGACAGAGTGGCATGTGCCATAGGTACTGAGATAGGTAATTTGTGAAGGGAGTTTGGCCATCTGGAAGCTTCCCCAATGGTTTCATCTTATCCTAGGTGAGGGCTTTCCCAGGCTGGGTGGTCTCTGGGATTAAATATTAAGCAGGGCTAAGTGAGCAAGTGAATAATACTGAGAGGATGAAATTCAGGATTCACAACAAAATACATGCCACGGGCTTCGTTTATAATTGTTCTTGGTCATGCAGGTTGCTTGCAAAAATCTGTTCTAGTCTTTCTCCTAGTGGCTTCAGGATGAAAGGATGCAGCTTGTAGAATGTGCACGGCTGAAGTCACAGTTTTTAGGAATGTGAATGTGAGGATGGCCTGGTTACTGGAGCAGAGCATCCAACTTGGACATCGTTCCCAGCAGTTCCTGGGAAGGAAAACTGTTTTGTGTGATCTCTGTGCAAGGAGGGGTTTCCTTGTCTGAAAGGAACCTGATAGTTAGTTTTGGCTTTTAGAAGCTTTAAAAAAATCCCACTGGAACAAAGGGCTTTTTAGTTGTTTGGGGCTTAAAATTTCATTTTATTTCACATATTCTTGAGTTGTGCCCAGCTCTTCAATTTGATTGTGGTCTTCTGACCACGGGCAGTGTGGAAGGCACATCAAGTGAAAAACAGGAAGAAGTGCAAGTTGCTGGTTTTGCTGTGAATGGAAACTACTGTGGGAATGCTGCAGAAGCTGGTGTTCCCTCCCAAGCGTTCCCTTCATTATCTCTGTAAACTTAAGATAGTTTGTCTTAGGCTATTTTTTGCCCTTCCCATGCTTAATACATTAAGACTTCTCTAATCTCCAAAGCAAAGTGCTTCTAGATTGAACTGCTAGTGAGCCTGCTTCTAAAAATCAGGAGTACTGTAGCAACAAGTCCAAGGGGTTCTGAAGGGAAACCTGGTGCATCCTGAGTCACAGAAAGCCCAGGAGCAGAAAGACATTGTTCAGCTCAGTTGTTGCTGAGCTGATGGAATGGAATCAGGAGTTAAAATCAGCTGTTTTCATCTCCATGTCTGAACTCCATCAGATCTCAGTGTAGCAACACAGGCACCGTGGAGAGCTTTGGGAAAAGTTTAATGGGAATTTTATACCAACAACCTTATGAGTTCATGGCAACCTCCAATGTTGGTCTTTCAAATTGCAGCAATTACTGCAAAACCCCAAGACTTGGGGTCCAGTGTTGTCTGTAAAAGGTCAATTGCCTTTTCCCTAAAAAACAGTTGCTAAAAAATGGCAACTTTTCTGGATATACAGGAAGAGGAATCTTGAGGTATGACGTGAATGGCAGTAGGAGTTCCATAGCAGGGCAGGTCAGCTTGTGGTCCTTCCAGGTGTTCTTGTACGTGCAAATTTTGTTCAACACTTCCATTCATAGTGAAATAGTGTAAAAAATGAGCAGGTCCTTGTAGCAAGGTGCTGCTTAGAAACTCAGTGCCCAGAGTGCATTAGGGCTTTTCTTATTTAACACTGAAAGGTTTAGTTGTGTAATAGAAATTGTTTACAAGCTTATTTCAAGTCTGTGAACTTGGAGGATGTTTGCTGCTGGCAATGGAATTTATAATTGCCCTTTATATCCATCTTAGGAATTTGTGAGTTACATCTTGCCCATGAACCTTGTGGTGATCCAAGGTGTAGATCCACCTTGGATTTGTGTGCATTTAAGGCAAAGTTAATGTGAAATCTTGGCATCCTGGTGTGGTTTCAAGAGCATCACAGGCACATGGTTGTAATATTTAAATTGGAAAAGACTTGAAGAGCTTAAGTGTTCAAATGAGCTGATTTGAAGCACAGAATTTATTTTAGCAATCTGTTTCCTTTTTTTTAAGCCTGACAGTCTTCATCAGAGTCCTGGAGCAAGGCCTTTGGATTCTGCAGGGCCACCATGCCTGGCTTGACCCCTGTGTGCTGTGTTCCCTTCACTGCCCTTGCTCTCATGTGCTTGGGTCCTCACAGGTGACTGAGCTTGCAGCTGATGGGCCCTGTCCTTGTGAGTGTGTGGCATCCTGAGGTCCACTTCAGTCTCACATTCTGCTGCAGTGTTTATCTTGTAATTATTTTTTCCCTGTCTGTTTCAGCTGTCTTTTGCCTGTACCACTTAGTTTCTTCCATTCAAAAGAGGAAATAGGAGAGAAATACTGTAGGATGGCTCTCAAAAATCCCTGGAATCTCAGGGCTTATCCCAGGGCTATTGGTAGGGGAATCCTACAACCTGCTGTAGGTGACCCCAGGAAGCATTAGTCAAAACTGCTTAACATCCCTTCCTTACTGTTCCTGGACTAGCTTCCAGCAAAATCAGGTTGGTTAGACCTGATGCTTTTTATTTTTTAAAATTGTTAAAAATTACTCTATTTTTATGTGCTTTATTTCATTCAAGTAGTCAGTGAATATCTGGGTTGAAAAAGAAACCCCCCAGCAGAGAGTAACCACTGCAGAAGGTGGGGTTCAGTATGGGTGGCACCATGTGAATTTGTTTACTTCCTTAGATATTTCTTCAGGAAATGTCCTTATAAACACAATTCCCATGTGCAGGCTGGAGCCAAACACCTCACATTTTAAGCCAATAATTCAGTTCTGTAAAGAGAATGGTTTCTCTGGAAGGAGTTTAGCTGAGAGAATTTCCTCATCTGTCTAGGTTGAAGGCAAATGGGATTATGTGTGTTTGTTTTTTTCCCTCTATCTGTGTTTTAAAACCAAAACTGTTGGTGTTTATTTATGATATAGCTGATTTGCAATTTGGTTTAGGAATTGAAAAATCAATGCTGCAGATCCAGGATAAGTAAGAAGCCTTTTTTTGGAAGATAAGGGGACAAGCCCTTCTCACTTGGTGTAAAATAAAAATTGCCTAAATTTGCTGTTAGTGTCTTTGGGCCATCTGAGCAGAATCCGTGGCTGCCTGGGGAGATGTGGTGTGTTTTTTTCTGAAATGCTGTGCTTTTGGTTTCTTGATGGTGTGGCTTTGTAGGTGACTCAAATGAGATGACATGCTGAAGATGTGCTGTGTCTGTAGAGCTCCTGCTTGTGTGTGGGACTTGCTTTGTCTTGTCCATAACTTTGGGTCAGTTGAGTAAGAAAGCTGTTGGTGAGGAAGGACCAATGCTGGTCCTTGGCTAAGCTCATTGAGCTAACCTGTGTACTTAGGGAAAAGGTCTTCCTTGATGTGAAGTTGGCAGTGAGTATCAGTGTGCCTTGGTGTTAGTGTGGGAATTCTGGTGACCTCCATCCAGGCATTGTGCAGAGTCCACAGGAATTCTGGAGGAAAAAAATCCATTGTTGGCCAATGAAGGGCAGCATTTCCTCTGTGTTTGCACTGGCAGTGCTTTGTGTTAGTGGGTACTGGGAGAGGTTA